CATCTGTTCTAATGCAGGGGAGAGAATGGGGGTGCGGGGAAGAGTGGATAGGTGATGCATACAGCATTAGAAAATGAGATTGTTAATTACAGAAGGGGACGACTCATCTTTCTTCCAAGGAGCAGCTCACTCATTGTCAGAGTCAGAACCAACTCATAGATCATCCTCCAGCAGTTTTTCAGAGGTTGTAAGTCACATGGGAGGAAACTGCTTATCTATCTTTCTCCCTTGGCCCAACTGGTAGATTTGAACTGTCTACCTTTGAGTTCTACAATCAACACTCTTGGTATCAGCAGCCAGGAAATTAAAAGATTAATTACATTGGGAAAGTCTGCTGTCAGAGACTTTGCCAAAGTACTGAAGAGCAATGATGTCAATCTGGAGACTAAGGTGCGCCTGATACAGGCCATGGTCTTTGCAGTTACTTGTTATGCATCAGAGAGCTGGACAATAACTAGGGATGATAGAAGGAGAGTTGATGCCTTTGAGCTGTGGTGCTTGAGAAGAGTATTGGATCTACCATGTTCTTCCAGGAGAACAAACAAGTTCATACTGGAGAGGGTGAAGCCAGGCTGCTCCTTGGAGACAAGGATTCTGAAACTTTATATGACATACTTTGGACATGTTGCAAAGCGGGATCAGTTCTTATAGAGGGACATCATACTTGGGAGGGTAGAGGGACAGCGCAGGAGAGGAAGACACTTCATGAAGTAGATTGATTCAGTGACTGGGATAATGGAGGTAGGTGTGTCAGAGACAATAAGATTGGCAAGGGATAGAGCAGGGTTTAGCGCTGTTATACACGGGATCACTAGAAGTCACAGGCAACTCAATGGCACATAACAACACCACCAACCTTTGAGTTGACAACACAATGCTTTACCCACTAGGCCATCAGAGCTCCCATAGGGAGCAGCTGATGTATTAAAAATGGGATCTTTGGGATTAGAAACCCAATTAGTATTGCATAATGCCAAAAGTATTGCATGATGCTCCTTACAGATTAAAAAGTAGTGGCCAAATTGAAAGGTAAATTTGAATACATTTCATTACACTAATATAGTGGATAAAACTGTTATTTTTCCCCAATAACATCTAATGAGTATCGATGATCATAAAAAAGATTATGAATACCAGAGGAATGTCTATCTGTGTTTCATTGACTATGCAAAGGCATTTGACTGTGTAGATCATAACAAACTATGGCTGACTCTGAGAAGAATGGGAATCCCAGAACACTTGATTGTTCTAATGCGAAACTTATATTTGGACCAGGAGGCAGTCGTCAGAACAGAGCAAGGGAACACTGCATGGGTCAAAACTGGGAAGGGCAAGGGAGCTCTGGTGGCCTAGTGGCAAGACGCTGCACTGCAATCCCAGAAGTACAAGGTTCAAATCCACCAGATGCTCTGCTGGAGAAGGAGGTGGCAATCTCCTCCTGTACCAGTCAGATCTGATTTGAATGTACACGTAAAAATAAAACAATTTAAAAAAAAATTGGGAAGGGCATACGCCAGGGATGCATCCTATCTCCATACCTTTTCAACCTATGTGCAGAACAGATTATCCAGGAGGCTGGCCTCTATGAGGAGAAATGTGGGGTCAAGATTGGTGGATGGTTTACCAGCAATCTGCGTTATGCGGATGACACAACCCTGCTTGCTGAAACTGAGGAGGACCTGAAGCGCCTGCTGCAGAGTGTCAAGGACTGCAGCCTACAATATGGATTCAGGCTCAATGTCAAGAAGACAAAGATTCTCACCACTGGACCAATTGGCTGCATCAGGATGGATGGTGAAGAGATTGAGATTGTACACAGCTTTAGTTTGCTTGGCTCCATAGTCAACAGTCTTGGCACCAGCAGTCAGGAAATTAAAAGGCGAATTGCCATGGGAAAGTCTGCTGTTAGGGACCTCTCCAAAGTACTGAAGAGCAATGGTGTCTTTCTGGAGACTAAGGTGCATCTGATACAGGCCATGGTCTTCGCAATCACTTGTTATGCATCAGAGAGTTGGACAATGACCAAGGAGGATAGAAGGAGAATTGATGCCTTTGAGCTGTGGTGCTGGAGTCGTCTTGTCAATCCACCTGGTTGAGGGTCTTCCTCTCCTTCGCCAACCCTCCACCCTTCCCAGCATCATGTCCTTCTCCAAGGAATAGAACCTTCTAACAGCATGTCCAAAGTATGTGAGGTGAAGCCTCATCATTCCTGCTTCCAAAGAGCATTCCAGCTGCACCCTTTCCAAGACATATCTAGTCTTTTTCTTGGCCGTCCACTGAGCACTCCCACAAATATAACAATGGCTATATCCGAATAACAGATTTATGGGTGAATTTCTATCTTTTTGTTTGTAATTTTTTTCCCCAAGCTGTCTCCATTTAAGGTATATGATTTATGTAAACAAAATAAGTGCTACAGATTTGTTAATCTATGCATGTCTTTACAGTCCTATAGAATTTTATTTTTAGCAATTTATCCTAATTGAAGGAAAAATACATGCATAAAGATGTTGTTGTTGTTGTTGTTGTTATGTGCCATCGAGTCATTTCCGACTCATAGCGACCCTATGCACAACAGCCCTAAACCCTGCTCTATCCTGCGCCAACCGCACCGTCTGGCACACCCATCCCGATTACTCCAGTCACCGAATCAATCCATCTCATAGAGATGTACTTATATAATTATCTTTCTTTACTTGTATGTAATAATAAAATACTGGAAGAAACTCAAATGTCTGTTTGGAAACTAGTTTTTTTAAAAAAATAACAATGTATCCACATAGTAGATTGTCACACAGTCTTCAAAATAAAGTTTCTGGAAGTATTTCAGAATGAAAGTAAATTATTACAGAATATTGAGTAAAAAAAGACATTTGGCAAAACAGTTGCCCTTGAGTTGATTTCTATATATGTCGGCCCCCACAAAGTCAGAGCAGAGCTGTGCTCATTGACTCTTTGTGGAAGTAGTTTGTCAGGCCTGTCTCACAAGGTGTCTCTGCATAGTCTTTCCCAGCCCGAGTTTGCTAAATCATTTGCAGTACTTCAGGACTTTCTTTTTAAAAAGCATTTATGTAGGGGAACTCTGGTGGCCTAGTGGCATGAAGCTGCACTCTAATCCTGAAGACACGCAGTTCAAATCCACCAGATACCTGCTGGAGAAGGAGAGGCAATCTCCTCCAATGCGATGGTATACAACAATTTAAAGGGGGGAGACCCAACCAAACATTTATGTAGGCATGTAGGTATAATAATATTACTAATTGATTGCCTTAAAAATATTAGAATATTAGAATATCAGCACATCATTATAGTTTCTTTTGATTGTCCATTTAGTTTCCTATGCTTTTAACATTTATAGTTTTATAAACATAAAAAGCCACTTAAGTAATAAGGAGGATTGTTTTATTGCTGTTGTTATATTACATGCCATCGAATTGGAATTCACTCATAATTGACCCACCATCAGAATTTCACAGGCTGTAAATTTCACAGGTCATTCATCTTTCTCCCTAGGGGCAGCTGGTGGATTTGAACTGCTTTGTCCTTGGGTGGATAGCCCATTTCCTTACCACCAGGTTATTAGAGCTCCCTGTTTTATTGCTAGCAATGTTAAAATAAAGCATTTATATGGGCACCACTGCTCCAGGTATTTTCTTTAGCTGTTGTTGCTACTAAATTTATTAATGTATTACTCAGTAATAGAAGGATGGTTAAACATTTCTTTAAATTCAGCCAAGTCTGGGTATCAGTGGGAAGAGAGATGATCAGAAAGTTTTCTTTGCTTTGTAAGATGTGTAAACCAACATATAGAAGCAATATTCAATAGCCTTGCCTTAGACTCCTGTTTCTGTTTCTGAACTTTGACGCCAGTGTTCATCAATCATTGTTGTTGGGAGCCCTCAAGTCAACTACCACTCATAGCCACCCTATGAACTACAGATTAAAATCTTGCTTTGTCATGTGCCAGCTGTTCAGAATCATATGCACAAAGAGCAAAGCAGTTTCAAGTTCAGTCACAAATTAGGTGTAGCTCTCTCATACCTGATGTAAAGCCCTCATTCACAGTGTGATGGTTTCTTAAATCAAATGAGAGCTTTTGCCTTTAATATTAGACACACAAACTCACTCTCACCCTTAATCTCTCATCTTTCTTTTGAAGACAAGTAAGGAAAAGAAATTATAGTCCTTAACTATTTAAATATAATTTAGATTGCAAAATATCTTTCATATTAGTGTGATACCGCATGATTGGCAACAAGCCTAGAGATGTATTGATCTACGGTGGTGCCATCACTGATTTATAGATTGAAAGACTATTTCTATATGCATGGCAAGGTGCTGGTGAGATAAAATAAATAAGACACAGTCTTGCTTTCCTTCCTACATGGAAAAAAACCCCTTCTCATTGCTGTTGAATGAGAGCTGACTGACAGCTGATGCTCCAGCCCTGTCAGGCTTACAGAGGCTATAAATTGTATGAGAAGAGATTGTGCATCTTTCTCCAGCAATGCTGCTGATAGTGTCAGGCCTCCCTACAGACTATGCCAAATGTGTTCATTCAGTGTCTCACTTCTCTGATAAAATAGACACATGACTGACATTTGTCAACTTTTCCTCTAAAAGAGTGGCTTATTGTTTCTGTTTCAATTCCTTGCCATATCACCCAAGAGTATTACCTGTGAAATTGTTCTCAAATGAATTTTTACAATCTGAGACAGTTGAGCTAAATACTAAGTGTGGAAGGCAATAGGTTGCTTTTCCAGTTGGAAAGAAAGACTTACACTACATTTTGATTCAGTACAGATCACTCGCTACTCTGAAACCTTACAACAAGCTAAAAAGATACAATACAGCAAGACATATTTTTGCTTCCCAGGAAAATGGAATCAAAACCAAGTAGAAAGACCAGGCCAACGGTTACAATATTGTAGAATGAAAGGGAAAGAAGAGAGGAGGTAAAATGAGTTTAGGAGAAGTAAAGCTTAAAATTTGATTCTTACTTGATTACTCCTTTCTCCACGTAGGTCGTCCTGTAAAATCCCACGAGGGAGCCGTTCAGCCAGCCCGCGAACTCCAAAGTTAAGAGGTAGGTACTAGCGCCAGTGTTGGCTGAGAGTTCTTCTGCCGCCTCCACCACCACATACTCCTGCTTTTTGTACTCGAAACACCTCCTGACTGGTACTTGCTCCCCGGTGGGCTTCTTCAGCACCGGGAGCTGGGTGATTCTCGTCTCCCGGAGATGCAGCCACAGGTATTGGGTAGGCAGACTCACGTTGATGGAGATGGACACCGTGCCCGTGTACCTGTCCTCCTCCATCACAGGCCTCATCTCCAGGTCGTAGTGCACAGGTTTGATGTGGTCTGGCAACCTGAATTCTTTCCACGGTCCGTTTTCATCATCACTGGCCGGGCAGGGTCCCTGGTCCTGCGGAGGAAGAGCTGAAGTGGTGGGAGCCTGAGTCGTGCCCTGCGCTCCGTCTCCGTCTCCGCTGGAGTCACAAGAAGACCTGGTCAAGCCCACAGAAAGTCCCACTATTAATCCCACTCCCACAACCACTGCGCAAATAATAGCCACATGTTTGCCTCTAATGCAGTATCTCTTAGGATTTTCTTCTTCCTCAAAGTTCATGGCTGTTTTCCAAGTCAAACGTTGCACTTAAAAAGATGTAACCAACCTCGGCCAACTTCCTATTTAAATCGAAAGAAATCCCTTGGTTTAACAGCCCGTTTTCACTTTCCCCACACCTCTCTGGTTTCTAGCGTCCTTCTCTCTCTCTCCTTTCACGTCCCCACTACCAACTCAAGGATGCCTGCGAAAATGAGGGCGGTGGGAAGGGGAGGTTATCAGAGGAGCAGAGCTGGAGGAAGAGGAGGGACGAGATGGTCACAGTTCCCCTTATAAACAACACGTCTCCACCCTACTCCCCCTCCAGCACCGCAGTGAGTTAAATATAAACCCGAGTTTAGTTTATCAGCCAGCGGAAGATAATCTGATGCCAAAGCTCTGTCAGCAGGTTTTAGAGAGAGTTTCAGAAAGAGGTGTGCTTACGCTACAGAAAAAACCAACCTTTGCTAGGAGCTCTTCTTCCGGTGGTGTTTGTAATCGCTCCTTTTCCCAAGCGGCTTCTCGAATTTCAGCATTTTACCAGGTAGGATGCCAAAGACGCCAAGTGTTTTCATTCGCTCTCCTCATGTGTTTCCTGCAAACAGAGCCTGCCTCCCAGCAAAGTTGAGCGCTGCCGGGCATACATAAGATTTGAGAGCCACTTTGTCGTTGTTAGGGGCTGTAGACACATAGAACTATCCTGTGTCATCCTCACAATCTCTGACATGCTGGAGGACATTGCTGCAGTCACTGTCAGTCCATCTGATTGAGGATCGACTTCACTTTCGATGTCCCTGCGTCCCTCCACCTTCCCAAGCTCTATGTTCCTCTCCGAAGAATAGCCTCTGTTAGCAACATGCCTAAAGTATGGTGACATGAAACTTAACCATCCTTGCCTCTAAGGAGCACTGTGGCTAAACCCTCTCCAATATATATCTCTTTGTCCTTTTAGTAGTTTATGGGATATTTAGTACTCTTCTCCAACAGGATGGTTCAAAGGCATCAGTCTTCTCCTGCCACCCTTATTCTTGATTTAGCTCTCAAATGCAAAAGGAGTGATGGAAAAGACTATGGCCTGAATCAGGCACACCTTAGTCCTCAAAGTCATATCATTGCTCCTCAGTAAATTGAGGATGTCCCTGCATTTAGACATGCAGTAAATCTTTGGTGAATAGGCACTGGCAAAGCATGGCCAAGAGAGCACTGGTAGACTAAACTGGTAGGGAGTTGCACTGCCAACTCAAAAGGCAGGAGGTTCAACTCGACCAGCTGCTTCCGGCTGGGAATAAGATGGGCAATCTCCCTCTGTGAGATTTACAGCCTTTGAAAATTTGCTGGAGGATCAACTATGAGTTGGTTTCAATTGACTTTTCAGCCAAGGACAAATTATGCCATTTAGCATAATTTATTTTAGTTTAAGCAATGTGTTGTTCTAATTCTTGATTATTTGTAAGTTATGCATAATATTCTTTTATAAAGATACATACTATTGTTCCCAACTCTTAACAATTATAAATAATGCTGAATTAAACACAACTTTTATTTCTTTGGAAAATGTGCCTAGTAGTGGGATTGTTGAATCAAATGATATTTTTTCCCAACTTTCTAAAGGAAGCACCAAACTTCTTTCCTCAGTCCTCTTACCATTTTACATCCCTACTAGTAGAATAAGAGCATTCTAATCTTTTCACATCTCCACCATCATTTGTCCTTTGCTGCTCATAGCTGACCATTCAGTGGGCTTTTTTTTTCCTTTGAGGTTGTAAATCACTCAAGAAGAGATTGCTAATCTTTATCCCTTGCAGTCACTGCAAGAGTGGAACTGCTGAAAAATTAGCAGTACAACACCCTGTGGACCACTCCACCAGAGTTCCATGAACGTTTGATTAAATCAAAACCCATTGCCAACAAGTGGGAACCATCAATTGAAAGCTGACACTCCAGTAAATTCTCAAAGACTGCAAATTGTACAAGAGGATATTGCCTATCTTTCTCCTGAGGAGCAGCTGGTAGATTTGAAATGTCTGCCTTTGAGTGGGCAGTGCAGCTCCTTACCCAACTAGGCTGCCAGAGCTCCTTTAAATAATAGATTAGTGATTGTAATTAACAAATTAAACTCTCAAAACCTCATTGCCTTGGAATCTGAAGTGATTCATGGCCAACTCACCACTAGGTGTTCTAAAACTGTAAATTACACAGGAGGAAATTGGCCATTTTTCTGTCATGGAGTAAATTTGAACCAATAGAGAGGCTCCCCCATTCAGTGTGCAGTAACCCGTAATGGGCTCTATCACTGGAACACTCATTATTAGCATTGTTACTAATCAAATTAATCACTCAGAACCACCCTGTAAAGGACAGATCTGAACCTTGCCCTATCCTGCCACATTCTCAGGATCTCCAATATGCTTCAGCCCATTGCTATAGTCACTGTGTCCATCTTGTTGGGAGTCTTCCTCTCTGTCTCTGACAATCTCTCTGGAAATTATTAAACAACATCATTAATATCACATTCAAACAAAACATTACTGAAGATTAATTTTTTTAAAAAAAAGTTTTCAACAATATGTCGACTGGGAATTTCCAGAAATTCAATCTGGATTTAGAAGAGACTATGGTACAAAGGGGTACCACTGTTGATGTTGATACCTTGATTGAAAGTAGACAATACCAGAAAGAGGTTTATTATATGTATTTTCCTAGCTATGCAAAAGCATTTGACTGAGTGAATCAAAACAAATTATGGTAAACATTGAGAAGAATGAGAATATCAGAACACTTAATTATGCTCATGGGAAACCTATGAATAGACCAATAATCTGTTGTCCCAATAGAACACAGGAACATAGCATGGTTTAAAACCAGGAAAGGTGTCAGCAGGGATGTGTTCTTCCTCCATGCTTTCAGAAGCAAAGAAGCATGGGAATGTAAACATCGTGGCTTTGAACTGATGCACCTTAGCCTTTAAACTATTAATCATTGTTCCTTATTACTTTGGAGAGGTCACTGACAGTAGATTTTTCCAATGCAACACATTTTTTGATTTCTTGAATTTTACTACTTAGGTGTTAATTGGGTATCTATTATTATTGTTAGGTGCTGTCAAGTCGAGTACAACACATAGAGACTCTATGAACAAAAGATCCAAACCCTGTTCTTAGTTCTATCTTATGCCATCCCTAAACTTCCTGACACAAAAGAGCCCATTGCGGCAATCACAACAATCCACCTGTTCCAGAGTCTTCCTCTCTTTCACTGACCTTCTCCCCTTCTAAGCATCATGCCCCTCTTGAAGGAACAGCCTCTCCTAACAAGATCATCAAAGTATGGAGGCAAGCCTCATCTTTCTTGCCTTCAAAGAGCACTCTGGTTGCACCTTCTCCGAGACACATTTATTCTTTTGGCTATCCCTGAGATGTTCAGGGCTCTTCTCCACTACCTTAGCTCAAAGGCATCAATTCTTCTTTTCTCATCCTTATTCATTGTCCAGCTCTCAGATACATTGCAAGTGATAGATGAGACCATAGCATTAATCAGTTGCACCGTAGTCCTCAAACTGGTATCATTACTCCTCAATTGAGAGGTCACTAACTGCAGACTTTCCCAGTGCAATATGTCTCCTGATCTTGTCAGTCCATTGGCAATTGATCAGGAGGAAAATCATATTCTCCCATATGAAAGGTGAGAATTATATCATTGAAGTGTTGTCATCCCCTATCCTAACTTATAATTACCATTGAATCCATTCTGACTTATAGCTACCCTATAGGACAAAGCAGAACTGCCAAATAGGGTTTCCAAACCTGTAAATCTTCAACTGAAGTTAGTTGACAGTGTTAATATTATTTTGCCTTTCTTTCATTTTAGTTGTTGGTTTTTGGTTTTTGTGTGTGTGTGTTTGGTTAATTTACTTTTTAATTTTATTTCTTGCAATTCATTTTTTAAAAAAATTTCACTGATATACCTATTAACTTTGTATACATTGCCACTCGCATCAGATCTCCCCTCACCTCGCCAACTCTCCATCTATTAAACCATGCAACCCCATAATTACCCTCCTGCCTATCACCATCTCTCTATACCCCCCTTAGATCCTCATACATTTTTCATAGTTATTACTACAATAATGGTCTTAAAAATATGTCTCCTTATGGGACTAAGTTAGTTCACATAGCATAATACTCTCAAGTTCCTCCCAAGTTAGGTCGTGACTTTACAAAGTCATTGCTCCTGCATAGTGTGAAGTATTCCATCATGTGAATGTACCATAATCTCTCAATCCATACGATTGTGGATGGACATTTGGGCTGTTTCCATGTTCTTGCAATGGTGAATCACACTGCTATGAACATTGGTGTACCAGTCTCCTTTTGTGCCTCAGTTCTTATTTTCTTGGGGTATATTCCAAGCAGTGGATTAGCTGAGTTGTATGGAATTTCTATGGTCAGCTTTCTGAGGAAATGCCAAACTGCCTTTCAGAGTGATTGTACTATTTTACAATCCCTCCAACAGTGTATGAGAGTTCCTCTCTCACCACATCCTCACTAACATTTATTTTTTTTTCCTGTCCGGTTAAACTTTGCCGTTGCTACTGGAGTGATATGGTTTATGTTTCTCATTGTGGTTTTGATTTGCATCTTTTTTTTTTTCAAACAGCAAGAGTGCTTTATTCTGCAGACTAAACTTCAGCATGCAGGGGTCTACCATTCAATAGAAATGGCAACCATGGGTACAGGCACGCAGGCCTTTTTATAGGTTGAAATGGGGCTGTTTGACCAGGGTGAGGTAATTGGGAACATGATTGGTGGATGAGGGAAACAGTTACATGAATCGGTTTGTGATTGGCTTGTGCCTAGGTGGCCAACAGCCCACACTCTTGTGTCACATATGCACTTTCTTGTGTCACATAGTCACATTCTTGTGTCATGTATGTTGAACTTCAGGATTAGTTACTCAAGCAAGTCTAAACCTAACAAGGCCATCAGGCACTGAGGCTAACCTGAGATAAGACCCTTCTGTATTCC